CCGTCCTCTGTCAAATCAAGAGGAAACATTGAAGTTGTATAAATCATAAATGGATTCAAGAATCTCAAGGTTTTTTTACCAATTAGAAGCACATTTTTCGTGTATACAGCACAACATATTTGCAAGGTGCGTACGACGTAGTTTTATTATATTAAAGAATGCAAAAAAATGCTTTGCAGGAAAAGAGGGGGGCGAAAAAGAGCTACGGAAAATGGGGTCGGTGTTGGTGACCAATTTGAGTAGCGCTAACATTCTCCACTCTATAGTCCAGACCCGTGTTAAAATTGGAACGATACACAGAAGATTTGCATGACCCTGTGCGGCCTTTTTTCACATGTTTCTAAGGTGGGTTATTAGAAAGTGGCAGTTTGTGCGATGAACACGTCAGAGAACAGTCTGTTTGTCTCTACCCCCGATCTTTGTCCTTCGAGTCCCTTTCAGCCGACAGTTCGCCAACCGAGGCTTTGCAGGTTGACGGCAGCCTCCATCTTGCTGTGATATGGGTAATCGGATCTTCTTTTCTCTCCTTGTTGCTGCATTTTTTTTTCCTGATTCCCACTGTTTCGGAGCTTGCACAATACACCCCAGGGCTATTGTGCAGTACAAAAAAAAAAAAAAAAAAAAAAAAAAGGGCGCACTTGCACTTAGCCAGCGTAGCTGTGATTATGCATTTACAAAGTAGCCCATGCGTGTATGTCGACATTCAAATATCGGATTAGCATTCATTTCCTTCTCTTTTTCCTTTGGCTTTTTTTAGAAAAGGGGCTGGCGGGAGCTGGTTTATGTGGAATCGTAAGCAATCAACACACACCTCCAATGAGAGGAAGCGGGTTGGCCAGAGGTCGGTACGCGACGATAGGCGTTGTAGATTGAAGAAGAGAGGAGAAGGGTGTAGAAGGGTAAAGCTGTAAAGAGAAGGGGAAGTATGCCCTGTCATTACTCTTCAATATTGTCCATCCATGTGTACAAAGGGGCCTTGTCGTAGACCGCTCTATAGCCACTGATTTGACCCTTCCAGTTTTTGGTTGCCTCTGTTGGTAGGTTGATGCGGTTCCTGGAAGCGGGCGGTGGTGGGAGTATTCACACACAGGAGGGCAGGCCTATAAGCTCAGCAGTAGGCGTGTGAAGGGGCAAGCTTGCTGTTTTCATCAGCATGTGAAGGAGCGGGAAAATGATAGTGGCGGATAGCAGCAGGGGACACAAGTTTTGTGTGGTGTACTAGAATGGGATTCTGGTCAGAGAGAGAGAGTGCCAGGTGAGGGAAAAAAAGGGGAAAAAAGTGCAAAAAACCCTGGTGGTGGTGGTGGGTGTGTGGGGGGGGAGGGGGCAGTGGGCATGAGCTTGCGATATTCGGAGGGGATGCGTAATGGCGTATGTTGTGTGAATGTTGGAGCGCATAGGATGCACGTTAGATAAGCGGGTGTGTAGGAGGGGTGTACCTCCCGAGGGTGGTTAAGAAACTGGCTGAGGTTGTGAAAAAGTTATGGGTGAAGTCTTTGCTTGCTTGTAACTTGCGGCAGCTGCCTCACAACAAGTGGATATTGTAGACGGGCAGGGGTGTGTGGTGGTAGGAGTGGTCGGGCAGAGACTGGGATAGAGACTATGGAGCAGACGGGGACCGACTCAGCAGGTGAGGTCGTATATGGGAGTGCGAAGGAAATGTGGAGGATGGAAGCAGGGGAAGATGACAAGGGACACACTGTCGATGAAGCGAAGAAGAAGGAGTGGTATGGCAAGGGTATCGATTACTGGCAGAGTGTAGATGCCACCGTCGATGGGGTTTTGGGCGGCTACGGCAACGTGAGTGCAAAGGACGTGGCGGAGAGCGGCACCTTCCTGAAGGAAGTCTTTGGTGGCCGGCTTGCGGATGGCGCTGTGGGAAGGCGCCATCTTGTCGCCCTTGATTGTGGAGCAGGTGTTGGAAGGGTTACCCAGCACTTCCTCTTGCAGCACTTTCATGAGGTGGACTTGATGGAGCCTGTTGAAAACTTTCTGAATGCAGCGCGCAACAATCTGGCTGCATTTCGAGGTGAACCAGGCCAGGCGCCGGACATCAGAAGGCATTGCGCTGTGAACTTCTTTTGCCAGTCCATGGAGCACTTCTCGCCACAGCCCAATCGGTACGATGTCATATGGATCCAATGGTGTAGCGGACACTTGACGGACACCGATTTTGTGGAGTTCTTCAAGCGATGCCAAACCGGGCTTAAATCTGATGGCGGCCTTTTGATTTTGAAGGAAAACAATGCCAAGTCAGGATTCGTGGTAGATAAAGAAGACAGCAGCGTCACTAGGTCCAATGACTACATCTGCGAGCTTATCGGCCAAGCTGGCCTGCAGATCCTCAAAGTCAAGCTTCAGAAGGGGTTCCCGAAGGAGTTGTTTGCAGTACGGATGTATGCGGTTGGCCAAGTGGGGCAGCAAACTTGGCCTGGCCCTTCTAAGAAAGGGAAGCGGAAGGGTTAACAATTACCCTCTTCCTTGTTCCCTTCCAAAATGTCGGACTAAAATGTTTACCAGTCGACGAACTTGTACTGGACTCCTTGTCAGGTGTAGCATAGCCTATTGCCGGCTCACTGTAGGTTGGTCCAATGCTTAAAGGAGTCTTCCATAGGGTTCGCCTCTGGTTGCCGTTTTTTGTTGTTTGAAGAGCTTTCGCCCCCCTTACGATTTTCTTGCCAACTACAGGGTTTGTCCATTTGCTCCAGTCGTGCCAACAACACTCCTGCATATATATATATGATGAGTCGATGAAACTCCGACGAAACAGTTTGTCACAGCCCCTCGTTTGTTGTCCTCTTCTCTCTCTCTGCCTACGGTTTACCGGGCAGTTCTATTTGTGACGATATATATGTGACGATATATATATGTTTGTCACGAACCCTGACAAAAATGTGCAGGTGCGCTGAAAAGAGTATACAAGAATGTGCAAAGGTGGGGAACCATTCACTATAACTGCAAAACTGTGAAGAATGCAGGAAAAGAAGAACATAAGTTTGTGTCATCTTACTTTGTTTGTACCCTGCACCCTAACACCCTCAAAAGAAAAGTCCGAAGGGTGAAAAGGAAGATGAAAAATGAAGAAGGAAGTGCAGGTGCGCTGAAAAACGAACGTGGTAGACTCGTCACCGAAACTGCAAAACTGTGAAAGAAAGAAGAATGCAGTGAAAGAAAGAAGATGTTTGGGTCACTTTTTTTTTTTTTTTTTTTTTTCCTCCCTCTGCCTATCGGTTTGCCTTTTCTGCTCCTCTCGTCCTTGTGTTTAACACCTCTTCCTTCACTCTGCCTCTTTCCCATAGCGTGCAAGTGGGTTGTTATGGCATACGGGGATGGGGGCAGCTCGCGCTCAACTTCATCAAGATGGCGAGCCTTGTACGTTAGAGGCATAGTGGAGGAGGCGTTAAGAAGACTGAGAAACTGAATGATTTCAATGTGTCTTTGTTTTTTATTTTTATCCTTTGATTCAGTGTAATTTTTTTTTTTGTAAAACACTGAAAGAAATAATAATACTGTGAAACAAAGAATAAGCGGTCACTGTTTTGTGTCATTCTGGTTTGTCTGTCTCTTTGCCTGTCTGTGCTTTCGTTTTTCTTTTCTTCGCTCATCTTATTTCTTCTTCTACTTCACGTGCTTACGCTCTTAGTCAATAGTTATGTGACAATATATATGTTCTCATGGGCATAATTGCCCTCCTGTCATTGATCGTAAGATCCTTGAGGCGGCTTGCTGGAGCGCATGGTAGTGAAGTGTCCGGCAATCATTGCCCTAGCATGCCAAGATGTCCACTGGTGACATGCACTGTGGACGCACGTGGATGGGGTACGGATACTCTGTTTGAGGGTCTTTTGCCTCATTTCCTACATTTGAGTAATCTGAGATGCGGGTACGATGTCAGCGGGAACAACCAGTCGTGACACTTGCGCTGCATGCGGGTTTCCAGGATCGTCTTCCCGAGTGATGTTTTCGCTTTCCGTTGAATCGACAAGGTTAATGGAATAGATGTGCCGATGGACTGTTTTTGTTCATTGGCGAAAGGTGTTTGTACATGTACAAGAAAAGTGCGTCATCTCTTTGTCCGTATCATGTTCTAATAGCTGTCTATGTGCGTGTTTCAGATTGGGCTTTTGACTTTGTCGGCCTGAAAAAAAGGATCCTTTTTGCAACATTGCCAGTTCCCGGCCACACTTTTTTTTTTCGTGGGAGCTGTGGGATTGAAGAGCTTCGTCATTTTCGTGCCGTGGAGTTCTGTGATGCTTGCAGACCCCGGTGCTGTTGTTTTGTCATTCGTGCCGGTTAAAAAAAAAATAAAAAAAATAAAAAGAACCGGTGAAGCACAGGGGGATGATGGTATGGTCGCGGCATTGGCTTCAGATTGGCTTCAGATCTGTTGACCTGTGGCAGTAATTGCACACAGATGCTTTTTTTTTTTTTTTTTTTTTTTTTTAAATCAACTTATATTCTTCTCTCGAGATTCCTCCCGCTAACTACCTACCTACCTACCTAGCCTGGAATTTACGCTCTTCATCTATGGATCACAAGCCAGCTACTGTAAGGGTTATGGGTTGAACCTATCCCCTCAGGTGGCTGAGCCTAACTCGCAGCGACGGGTGGAAGGACAAGGAGGGCATTCCCTGCCAACCAACTAGGAGGGGCAAGCTGACTATCTCAGCTGGTGAACGTGCAGCGCGCCTCAGGACGGGGCGTTCCAAAGAAGTCCCAGTGTGAATATGCCCAAGGTATCTCATTTCGAAATATAAGCAACGATCCCGACTTTTGAAGCTTACCTTATTATGCAGTAATTGCAGTCACACATGAGCTCATTCAGCTCAATGCAACACAAACTCAGAGAGCAAGAAGATGGCCAGCGAAGGAAACGAAGAGGCAGAAGAATAGAATCCGTTAAAATTGGAACGATACAGCGAAGATTAGCATGCCCCCTGCGCAAGGATGACACGCATAAATCGAGAAATGGTCCAAAAAAAAAAGAATGATCATAGTTTCAATAACAATGAATGTTTACGAAATTCTGCTCTGCTCGCCTTCCTCGTCTCCTCCCAATCTCCTACTCCCTACACGTGCTCCACAGACGGAGGGCACTGACTCCTGACTCGATCAGGAATGCCGGGTGGCCCCCTTGGAAAGAACAGCGGCGGCAAACTGCCCCAACCATCAGATCCCAATTAGAAGGGTTTGGAGTCAAGTGCCACCAGTTAATCCCTCTTTTTCGAGGCCACCGCCCTCGAGTAAGCTTTTCATGGCTTCTGGAGTCGGTGTAAAACGACGTTTTGCAAGTAGCCTCCGCTGAACTGGTGGTTTAATACTTCAAATGTCACTGTGGTGGACTTCTTGTTTTTTTTTTTTTTCCTTTTTTTTTTCATGATCCTGCCGCAGGGCCGCCTACGACAGCTTGTTACAATTTTTTTATTTTTTTGTTCCTTCCTAGCACCCCCAGCGGCAAACCGCCAAGAACGGTGGACCCGGTTTCCAGCAGGTGCTGCTCCCCACCAATAGATGGAGCCTCCAGCAGGTGCTGGTGGTCCCCACCAATAGAAGGAGCCTCCAGCAGGTGCTGGTGGTCCCCACCAATAGATGGAGCCTCCCCGGGAGTGCGAGTGGTGCCTGCTCTTACCAGCACCCCTAGCACCACCTCAGGTGTTT